TCTGTTGTGGGGAGGGGAAGGGAAAGGAGTTTGTAAGCCGCTCTGAGACACCAAGTGAAGGGCGGGGTATAAATCCAATCTCCTCTCCTCCTCCTCAAAATATGTGGCAGGGCGTGAGCTTTCGTAAGTCATTGTATCTGAAGAAGTGAGCAGTGACTCATGAAAGCTCATGCCCTGCCGCAAATTTTGTTAGTCTTTAAGGTGCTAGTGGACTCTTGCTCATTTCTGCTGATTCAGGGTAACTGCGCAGCAGCAGGCCAGTGGCCTTTTTTAAGTCAGTGGGCACTTTTGGGATCCTGACACAGCATGGTGGGTGCAGCCACAAAATGGCTGCCTTTGCTTGCCTTCAGTAACGCAGTGAAAAGCCTTGTCCTGTGGTGGCCGCTGCTGCTGAAGCGGCATTTTAAAATATCTGCACAGCCAATCAGATTTCCACTGGCTGCGGGGCAAAGTCCGCACTTGCTCCTACCCACTTTCTAAAAACACTTGATGGATGCAAGGAAAGGGACTCCTGATCTAGTCCATCTTGTTTCCAACAGTTGCTGGTGAGATGCCCCAGGGAAGTCAACAAGCCTCTGAAAACAGCCCTTACCTATTGAGTGTTCCCCAACATATGACAGCCAGAGGTATCCTGCCTCCGAACCTGGAGGCCCCATCCAGTTGTTGGGGGTAATAGCTCCCATGGACATGTCCACCATAAATCTATCCAGTACCTTTTTTAAATTGATGTAATCCGTTGGTCATCACCACATCTTGTGGCAGTGAGTTCCACAGTTCCTTTTATACTCCTTTTTGGCTGCTGTCACGCACACTAGCCAGTTTGGTGCAGTGGTTAAGTGTGTGGACTCTAATCTGGGAGAACCGGGTTTGATTCCCCACTCCTCCACTTGCACCTGCTGGATGACCTTGGGCAATCCATGGTTCTGGCACAGCTGTTCTTGAAAAAGAGCAGTTTCTGTCAGAGCACTCTCAGTCCTGCCTACCTCACAGGGTGTCTGTTGTGGGGAGGGAAAGGGAAAGGAGTTTGTAAGCCGCTCTGAGACTCCTTTGGGTAGTGAAGGGCGGGGTATAAATCCAATCTCCTTCTTCTTCTAAATATTCCACTTTCGATCTGCTTCCAGTGCACTTTCCAACTGGATTTTTTTCTGTGTGAACTGGCAAAATCCAGTTGGAAAATTCATTGAAAGTGGATTGAAGGTGGATTATTTGGTGTGTGCAGCCGCAGCCTTTGTCTGCCTGATGGGATGCTACTGTTCCATGCAAATGAAGCTGTGGATGGGATCAGCACATTTAAACCAGGGTTGTACAAAGGTGCCCTTTTCCTGTTCTTTTTGGGTTTTGTATGTTGGCAACCTTTTCATTCCTCCTTGTGGTTCTGCTTGTAGTTCAGATTGTTTTTTTCTTTCTTTCATGCCATTTTTATGCAATTGATGGGGGGGGGGAACACTTTGTAACAGTGATATTTCTGTTGAAAGAGGGCTGCCGTTTGATCGTGTCTTAGAGGAACCTGCGTCAGAAACTGTCAGAAACCATGACAGAAACTTCATGTGTTCACAGAATTCAGACACGTCGCTAAATAGATAGATATCTGCGTTGCAGAAAGCAACGTCTCTTGCTGCTGACTAAGTGGGCTGTACTCTTCAAAATCCATCATACATCTTAGAAAGACACTTTGGAGACGAGGTCCTTCTCATCTACACCACCTGGCACCTGGCAAGCATAGGCCCACAGTTTCTGATGTGCGCGGGACTTTTTGTATTGCAGCAACCAGGGGTCATTTTGTAGAAAAAGAGGTGCAGGAGCTCATTAGCATAACTCAAGAGCATAACTCATTTGCATATGCCACACACCCCGACATCACCGGAAGTGTGTCAGAAGGCAACACCCACCGCTCAGGCTCCACTGGACTGTTTTGGATTGCTAGCTATTGGGGGGTGGGGAGGAACGTGCAGATCTGTCCTCACAGAGGAGGGAGAGCTTGTACCTGAATAAAACTTGGTTTCAAAGGTGCCACTGGACTGTTCTGGACCAGGGGGTGGGGTGGGTCTCTGCAGCTTACCTGGCTGCTTCTTGCTCTGACTGAGGGCTGCTGGGGCTTGTTGCATGTGCCCGCCCCCTGGGCTCTTTACTGCCGGAGCTCTGCTCCTGCGCGCTCCTGCAGGAAATGACCCCTGGCAGCAATCAAGGCGGCCTGCTTAAGCAGTGATGGACCTGGGAGAACGGTCAGGATCTGAGCCAAGGACTTCAGATTCTTGTGACTCGGACTACTAAGTGCCCTAAGCCCATGGAGCTTGGGCCTCAGAAGACCTTAGGCTCAGGACTGTGCAGCATCAAGCTCTGTGACTGGTAGGCAGCATGAAGCCTCGGGATTGGTTGGGCTGGATACCAGGAGACTTGCTTGGTCAATGGATCGGTTTCATCTTCCTGCTGTGCTTCAGGCCGTATCCATCTGCAGCGTCAGCTACTGCTCTCGGGGGCCCTGCTCGAAGTCTACATTTGAGGAGGGATCTCCTTGGCTTGGCTCTGTCAAACTGGTTCCAATCCCTGTGCAGCTGCATACTGTCTAGTACGTGCAAGAACCCACGAAGAGTGAAGCCACTACAGGCAATGGTGGTCAGACTTGGTGGAAGGGAAGCTGCAGAACCTTGGATAGCTCCATGGCAGACAGCTTGTTGCAGTGGCTGCCGGAAGCCAGACTGCATTCTCAAATACTGGAGCAGGTTCAGATAGCTCCATCCAGGACCTGCCTTCCTAGGGCTAGAAGTGCTTCCTAAGGGGCCCATGGTGACGTGTGGTCTGGCTCATCTGTGGAGCCCTGGGATCTTCTACAGGTCCTCTGGCATCTCCAGGGAGGAGGATTTGGTGGTGGTGACCCTGGAGGCTGGTGGGAGAGCAGATCTTCTGGGAGCTTTGGCTACATCTTTGGGAAGAAGACTTGACTGGTCTGGGGCAGTGATACTCTGTATTCTTGGTGCTTGGGGGCAACATTGGGAGGGCTTCTGGAGTTCTGGCCCCACTGGTGGACCTCCTGAGGGCAGTTGGGTTTTGGCCACTGTGTGACACAAAGTGTTAGACTGGATGGGCCATGGGCCTTCATCCAACATGGCTTCTCTTATGTTCTTATGACTATTGCCAGTAGGGGTCAGGTCCAGAGGTGGTACTATCCTCCCCTGAAGTAGTGAAACCCCCCCAGAGGTTGAGTTACCCCACCTATTTTTCCCCCCAAGAGGGGTTGCTAGCTTGGCCAACTATGTACACCAGTATCAAGGGCTGGACTGGATGACTCCTCATCTGAATTTTGCTCAGTGGGCAGGGACATGAGATACTTGCTAAGAAGGCCTTGAGGACACCACTATGCTTCGTACCCCACGTGATATTGTCACAGTGTGATGGTGCCATAAGTTGCTTCTGATAGTGTAAAAACATGCTTCTGTTTCCCCACCTCTCCATTTCCAGTTTCAGTTCGTTTTGTTTGGAGCAAAATAATCCCCAGGTGTCATTAGTGTCGGTATTACGCGGTGCTAGCCCACTGCAGACAGAACACGGGTGCAAGAGTATCCAATAAGACTGGAGTCTTCAAGGCTTAGTGTAAAAGCTATTTACAGTTTATTTACAAAAGCCTTCACCAATAATTGCACAGACTGACATAATGCTCGCGCAGACACCCAATATTCACAAGAAGAAGAGTTACACAGCACACCACCATACTTATACATCCATTGACCAATCAGGGCCAATGCTGAGTCATGGTAATTAGCTCTGGCATGAACCAGCCAGAACCAGTTAGAGCCAGCTCTTCAGACACTCAGAGCTGTCAGCTCCTGTCACATAGATGCCACAGATCTACAGTCAGACTTAACTGCACATTAGAATGTTGACAATTAGGAGCCATCATGAGGACAGATCAAGATGGGTAGCCATGTCAGTCTGTCTGTAGCAGGAGAAAAGTGCAGGAGTCCAGGAGCACCTTCAAGACTGACATAATGAGGACAGTTCTTGCCACGTGTGCATTTATGTGCCACCGAGTCACTTAACGACTTACGGTGACCCCGTGATTTTAATGACCTCCCAAACATCCTGCCATTAACAGCTGTGCTCAAAGTTTTAGTCATCAAAAGGGTGCCCTGATGGATTATATGTGGTAGTAGCCGTTGACGGACTGATCCTCCATGAATTATTCAATTCAATTCAAATACCTTTAATTGGCATACAATATTAGAAGTATTTACCAATAATACAATCCAAAAGAAATTATAAAATAGATAGTCGTGGCTATGTCAGGCCTAACTCAAGTTGTCACAAGCTAGATTTGACCATACAAAAGATGCCTGAATCATAAAATAAATTGGCCTTTTAAACTTATAAATTAAGAATCATTAATATGGTCAGGTCACTCTTCCATGAATTTGTCTAATCCCCCCTTTTAAGCCACCAAAGTCCCATGGTGGTGCATTCCACAAATTACGCATTGTGTGAAGTCCTTCCTGTTGCCTGTGCTGAATTATTTATTTATTTATTGCATTTATATTCCACCTATCCCGTAAATGGGCTCAGGGCGGGTTACAACATTTCCATAAATACGATAAAGTTCTGAAACACATTATCAGCATATAAAAAGTCAACCATCATAGCTTGCTGTAGGGAGAGTCCGGCCCATTGACGTAGGTAGGTATGGCCTGTTATCAGTAAGCAACCTTGGGGTTAATTAACTGCCCATCCAGTTAACCTCGAGGTTAATTAACTGCCCATCCAGTCCTTTGGGATGTCCCCAAGTTCTAGTTTTATTTGCTTGTTTGTTTGATTCTGTTTGTATCCCGCCCTCCCCACAAGCGGTCTCAGGACAGGTTCCATCATAAAATTCACAATATAGCAATATAGCAATTGACAATATAGCAACTGACACTATAGCAATATAACAAATTGACAATTAAAATATCTAAAAATCTATCTAAAACCAGCAATCAATAAAAGACTGGTGCCTCGATAGATCTCAGTGAGAAGCAGTTGGTTCCCAGGTGGCCATTCCGATCTGAGGTCACTGGTAAAGGTAAAGGTTCCCTTGCTCGAAAGCCAGTCGAATCCGACTCTAGGGTCGCAGTGCTCATCTCCGTTTCAAAGCCGAAGAGCCAGCGCTGTCCGAAGACGTTTCCGTGGTCATGCGGCCGGCATGACTAAACACCAAGGCGCACGGAATGCTGTTACCTTCCCACCGAAGTGGTACCTATTTATCTACTTGCAATTTTGTAGGCCCTACGCAAATGTAATGGGTCCTGCTGGGCCCCGATTTCTAATGGAGAGGACGAACATGTTTCTCGTCTACACTTCCTCTATGCTGTGCATAAACGTATAAACCTTCATCGTGTTCTCTCCCCCACCCTCCCCAAATGGTAGTCTTTGTTTCATTTTTGTTTGAATGGGCGACACTCTCAGGGGTGAGCATTGAAGAGAACCTTCCTCTCTTGTTTTCTCCAGTGGTCCATGTCGCTGCACACCTGGTGAATGCCTTGAACTTCTCTGTGAACTACAGTGAAGAGTTTCTCCCACTTAATGCTGCCAGCTTCCATGGCGAGGTGAGCAGGAGGGACCGGTTTCTTTCTTCTGTAAACAAATTGTTCTCAGTCCTCGAAGGAACCTTTACGGAAGCATAGTTGGGTGCCCAGCGCTGTAGTCTTTCCGGGATCCATCGAGACTGGGCAAAGGTTACAGATGTTTTGCTGTGCCGCAGGAACGTATGAAACCTTAATCATGAATTTACCCAAAAAGAAAAAGGCTTGAAGTATGATATGGGGAGGGGCCGTGGCTTAGTGGCGAAGCATCTGCTTGGCATGCAGAAAGTCCCAAATTCAATCCCTGGCATCTTCGGTTAAAAGGACCAGGCAGTAGGTGATGTGAAAGATCTCCACCTGAGACCCTGGAGAGCTGCTGCCAGTCTGAGTAGACTATATGGACCTTGATGGACCAGTGGTCTGATTCAGCATAAGGCAGCCCCATGTGTTTGTTGTGTTCATGTGTGAGCTGTGTTTTGACACCACATCCACACGTTGTTAGATATTTTGCTACTTTAGTCAGGCAAGGAATCATTACAAAATCCAAGGATGTGTGCCTCCAGCCCTTCTAAGATGTATTTGTGTATTTATCATATGGAGAAATTACACACAGGAACCATATCATTATATAAAGTATGTAACCAAGTTGATACAACTAGTAGACAGAACTCTAGTTGTACAAGGACTCGTGGGCACTCAATTAAATTGCTGAGCCGTTGGGTTAGAACAGATAAAAGGAAGTACTTCTTCAAGCAAAAAGTGATTAACACTTGGAATTCACTGCCACAGGAAGTGGTGGCAGCTACAAGCATGGACGGCTTCAAGAGGAGATTGGATAAACATATGGAGCAGAGATCCATCAGTGGCTATTAGCTGCAACGTATAGATAGGAGCCTTCGGTCTGGAGCGAGTGATGCTCTGTATTCTTGGTGCTTGGGGGGTGGGCAACAGTGGGAGGGCTTCTAGTGTCCTGGCCCCACTTCTGGACCTCCTGATGACACCTGGTATTTGTGGCCACTGTGTGACAGAGTGTTGGACTAGATGGGCCATTGGCCTGATGCAACATTGGCTTCTCTTATGTTCTTACAAACTAATTCAGAGAAACACCATATTCAAGTCTAAGACTCTCATTGTTGACCCACACTTAAGAGGTGATATGGTGGTCAGACTTGGGTGACTTGCAGTTTAATGGGTAGCTTGGGGCCTGTCCGGTCCAGCCTTCCTCACAAGACTGTTGTGAAAATAAAATGGATGAAAGAAGAATCATGTACATTGACCTGAGTTCCTTGAATCAGATTTTAAAAAACCACACATAAGAGGGGCCAATCCTAAATAGAATTACACCATTCAAAGCCCATTGACCAACAGAGTTAGAAGAGAGGTAACTCTGTTTTGGATTAGAACAGAATTTGAGTCTAGTGGCACCCTTAAGACCAACAAAGTTTTATTCAAGGTATGAACTTTCATATGCATGCACACTTCCTCAGATCGTACGGATGTATCTGAGGAAGTGTGCCCTGCACATGAAAGCTTATACTCAGAATAAAACTTTGTTGGTCTTAAAGGTGCCACTGGACTCAAACTTTGTTCTATGGCTTCAGACCAATGTGTCTACCCACCTCGATCTGTTTTGGATTGCCCTGGAATATACTGGCTAAGGAATGGATTGTGATCCCTGCCAAAGCTCATGAAAGAATTCATGCTGTCTTTGTCTGCCTTCTAGGATCCCAGGAAGCTCCTGTTTGCTACGGGTAAGTCCGCGATAATGTCTGTACAGGGCTGTTGCTCAGCTTAAAGTTGTCAGACCTTTGCTTGCGAAATGGAAATTGACTATAATCTATTCTGCTCCAGAACTGGTGTCACGGTTCTTTCTGGGAACAAAGTAAGCCACTGGCAGTTATTTCTTCTTTTTCTAAAAAAAGGAAACGCCCAAGTCTTATTAACAATAACATGCATTCAGTTGCAAAACAATGTCATGTACTTAATTCCATCAGGATGAAGGCTTTGTAAACGCTTAATTTTCCAAAACGAAAGGTTGTAGATACGTTTTGCTATTCTTTCTGCCTTTTCTCAAACCTGTATGTGTTTACTGGGAAGTAGGCCCTGTTGTGTTCAATTGTACTTACTCCCTGGTAAATATGGGGGAGGGGCTGTGCCTTTAGTGGTAAAGCATCGGTTTCACATGCAGAAGGTCCCAAGTTCAGTTACATGGATTGCCTGGGTCTGATTGCAGGGCAGTACACATATACAGGAGCTGTGGTGGCTCAAGTGGTTAAGACACTGAACTGCAGGCTGTGGAAGGTCTGTAGTTCAGCAGTTTGAGACCCGGGTGCTTCATGACGGAGTGAGCTCCCGTCTCAAGTTCCAGCTCCTGCCAACCTAGCAGTTCAAAAGCAAGAAATTGCAAGTAGATAAATAGGTACCGCTTCGGTGGGAAGGTAACAGCATTCCATGTGCCTTGGTGTTTAGTCATGCCAGCCACATGACCACGGAAAAGTCTTTGGACAGCGCTGGCTCTTTGGCTTTGAAACGGAGATGAGCACCGCAACCCTAGAGTCGGATTCGACTGGCTTTCGAGCAAGGGAAACGTTTACCTTTACCTTTACATGTATACAAGGGTTCTTTATACTCTATGTATAAAGTAAAGGTAAAGGTTTCCCTTGCTTGAAAGCCAATCGAATCTGACTCTAGGGACCAGTACTCATCTCCATTTTCAAGCCGAAGAGCCAGTGTTGTCCAAAGACATTTCTGTGGTCATGTGGCCAGCATGACTAAACACCGAGGCGCACAGAACGTTGTTAACTTCCCACCGAATTGGTACCTATTTATCTACTTGCAATTTCTTGCTTTCTAACTGCTGGGTTGGCAAGAGCTGGGGCCAGAGATGGGAGCTCACTCCGTCACACAGCACTAGGGTCTCGAATGGCCAAACTACAGACCTTTTGGTTTGCAGCTCAGTGTCTTAACCTCTGAGCCACCATGGCCCTCAACTCTTATGTATATGAGGGTGAAATTGCAAGAGATACCCATGGAAGGAAGAGACCTTTTGATTGAATAAATGGAGCTTTTATTGTAAATGAATGCAAAGCTCACACGACTCACTCATGCAAAAATAATAACAACAGATCAACACACACAGAGCTAGGAAACATTGAGGTGATCGATAGTGACAAGATGGGGGGTTGATTTTAGATAGGGCAGTATTCACCTGATCCTGGGTTCCTGAATCCACATGGCTGACCAGTGGTTCATGTCAAAGGCTCAGACAGAGTCTGAGGGTACACTCTTACGGGCGCCTCAAGAGCTGTACAAAAGTTGAGGCGTGGAGTGCCAGTTTAAATATATTTTTTACGGAGCCAGGGGTGAGCTGGCCCAGGGTGTAATGAGTAGCCGGATTAAGTTGGGTACGTGCAGGATGCTTGGCTTGAATTGCCGAGGTTGGGAAAGTCGCCAATGTTTGCATTTCTGTGTGTCAGTGGCTTGGTGTGGAGTGGGGAAGGGTGCTAGACTCTCGAAATTACTTTGAAAGAGACAGTGCCATTTACCAGGGCGATGCCGGGGTCAGAGAAGATAGGATTAGGGATTAGTACGGAGAGGCTGGCTGTCTCTGTTGATTGAGTCAGTCCTGTGCGCATGCTCGCTCGCAGTCAATGTTCCCTCTAAGGTGTGGAGGAAGTCTTGTGAGCAAAAATTCTATTTTGTGAGCTCCTGGCATTCATGTTGTGAGCGAGCAATTTGGCTACTGCATAACTTAGCTTGCTCTGGAGCCATCCTTCCTGAGCTAAGACAAAAATGTGTGAGCTGGTGGCTAAAAAACTGTGAGCTAGCTCACACTAACTCATCTTAGAGGGAACACTGCTCACAGTCCTGCTTGGCTCGGTTCCTCCTGAGCCTGTCACGCTGGTTCAAAATGGAGTCTTTTCTGGCGCCATGTTGCAAGCCATAGTTCTGATAAGAGCTGTCCTTGAAAAAAGAGCAGTTTCTGTCAAGAGCTCTCTCAGCCCCGCCTCCCTCACAGGGTGTCTGTTGTGGGGAGGGGAAGGGAAAGGAGTTTGTAAGCCGCTCTGAGACACCTTTGGGTAGTGAAGGGCAGAGTATAAATCCAATCTCTTCTTCTTCTTCTTCCTGTGAATATAGGGCAAAACTTTTTCCGAAGCTTCTATGATCTTGGGAGTTCCATGCGCTGGAGCGTCCAGCAATGCCTTCGGGGTAGTTGTGCTAAAATCCAAATACCTTCTTCCTTTGTGGGTGTCTTGTAAAGTTAAGGCTGCAATCCTAAGGGTACTTTCCTGGGAATAGGCGCCATCAATTTACATAAGGTTTACTTCTGAGTAGACCTACTTAGCCTTGTTCCCCCAGCTAAGCATGGAAAGCCGTGGATAAATGTGTAGCCATTCAGATGCAGAATGTGCAAGAGCTATGCATCATTTCTTTGGTCCCCCCACCTCCTTTCTTTTTATGATTTTTCATTTCTTGGACCACCAACTTTGATAGTTAAATGCCAATCAATTTAAAACGCCTCCCCGCTGTCGAGCCTAGATGCGGATTAGCGGTCTTCCCTGTTGAGCTCTAATGGATAGGCGGTAATTTGGGGGCAACATTGATCTGTTTTGCAGGTTAATGCTAACGCCTTTTGTGTTTCACAGTCAGCAAATGGCGTTTCATATGTCTGAGTCCCTTTTTCACTGATGGACTTTCTAATCCTTTTTGTCGGGGAGGAGGGAGAGGGATTTTTTCCTCTGTCTGCCACCCGGCCAGCAGAATTTAAAATAAGGTGCTTTGATGAGCTGCTGCATTGAAAGTCAGTGTCGCGTAATGGCAAGGAAATGTGATGTGCAAGCTGGCAGGTTCTTGGTTCGAATCTTATCGCTTCTAGGAACTTGGCACTGCCTTGCGGTCTCGGCCTTCTGCCTGCAATATGGAAACGGTAAATCGCAGGCTAGCATAGTCCATGCAAAAATGTTTGGTCTTTTAATGTCTGTTGTGTTCTGGTGGAAAGTACCCTCAAGTCACAGCTGACATATGGTGACCTTGTGGGGTTTTCAGGGCAAGAGACGTTCAGAGGTGACCTGCCATCGCCTGCCTCCGTGTCACGATCCTGATATTCCTTGGAGGACAAAAAGTAGAATTTTTGCTCACAAGACTCTATAGCTTAGAGGGAACATTGGTCACAGCTGACATATGGTGACCTTGTGGGGTTTTCAGGGCAAGAGACGTTCAGAGGTGGCCTGCCATCGCCTGCCTCCGTGTCACGATCCTGATATTCCTTGGAGGTCTCCAGTGTTCCCTCTAGCTGTGGGGTCTTGTGAGCAAAAATTCTACTTCGTGAGCTACTGGCATTAGAGTTGTGAGCGAGCGATTCGGCTACTGCATAAATTAGTTTGCTCTGGAGCCCCATCCTTCCTGAGCTCAGACAAAAATGTGTGAGCCGGAGGCTAAAAAACTGTGAGCTAGCTCACACTAACTCAGCTTAGAGGGAACACTGGAGGTCTCCCATCCAAATATTAGCCAGGGCTGTTCCTGCTTAGCTTCCAAGATCTGCCAAAATCGGGCTAGCCTGGGCTAGTGAAGCAGAATTCTGCATTGTAACTGTACACGTAGGGGACACGTCAGAGGGATTTAATTTCTGTGCACTCTCTCTCCCTCTTGTTTTTTTCTCTTTGTTTCCCCTGGAAGTACCTGCAGCCTCACCCTTTACCTGCTCTCCTATCCAGTTACCACCCTCTTTGTTTTTCTCTGCACTGTGTTCAGCTTTCCCTCCCCTTGGCAGCCCCTCCACCTTCTGTCCCTCTCACCTACACACCTTGCTGTACTCCTCCCGACAGCCTCTGCCCCCTCTCACTCACCTGCCTTCAGCTTTCCCTTTTCGGTTCTTCCTCTCTCAAGTTTTGTCTTCTGTTCCTGCTGTCTTTTATTTATTTATTTATTTATTTATCAAACTTGTACCCCGCCCTCCCCGCAAGCGGGCTCAGTGCGGCTTCCATAAAAACATAAATACATTAAAATACACAATATTCGACCACAATGAAACGTTACAAAAACAAAGTGCTGGCGGCTGATTAAATTAGTCTAGATGGTACATTACAGGGATAGATTTCCACTGCCCAGATGTTCCATGATGTCACTGCTCATAATCAATTTGATGTTAAGACCACGGGCCAGGCCTGCTGTAATGGCTTGCAGTAGCGCCTGCAGTAGTGGCGGCCCCTAGTTGAACGCCTTTTGTAGTTTACTCCCCCACCCCAGGCGCTGCAGTAACCCAGGCTTCGAAGTGTCAACCGTGCTGATTGAGGTTGCCTAACAACCCCTGAATGGCCACCAAGATCACTCTGTAGTTTTGCGAAATTTTCGTAGCCCAGCTGGTCTCGCAGGTTCCAAGTCCAGGTCACGCAGGCAGGAGCAGGTCAAAGGAATATTCACAGCGTAGTCCAAACAGTCCAAGGTCAGTTGTTACAGTCAGAGAGAGTCCAAAAGCAGAGTCAAGCCGGTCCAAGAGTCACAGGAGTAGAGCAGAGTCAGGAGTTGTGGTCGCAGGATTCACTGTGAGGTAACGTGTTGCTTCCACAAGTTGGCCACAGCTCACACCCAGCTTTATGTAGCTTTCCCCTAATGCTGCTGGCTAGTTAGCAAGGGCTCCTGCAATGACTCATCTTGTAGCTGTCGACGGGCTATTAATCTTCTACTCTGTCTGCATTCATGCAATCGCCTTCTGCTCTTAGCCCTTCTTCTTTCTATGAGCGGGGGGGGGGAATCTGGGGGAGTCGTGGGTGCCTCCGGAGGTCCTTGCTCCCTGACTTCAGCCGGCTCAGTATTATCTGACTGGAATTCCTGAGTGTCCTCTACTCTGAGGTCCTCTTTTGCCACGCTGGACTCAGGCTTGACTTCTGAGGAGTCCTTATGCCCACTGAGCTCCAGTTGCCAATCAGATTGGTCAGGCTTCAAGTCAGACTGGTCCTCACCCTGGCTGGGCTCAGGCCGCAAGTCCGAGTCTGGCTGCACCTCAGGCTGAGGCTGACCAATGACAGAAATCTCGGTAGCATTGCTTCTCTTATTTTCCTTTTTATAACTCCCCCCCATACATATTTATTTACATTTTATTTTTTTTGCAAACCTGGGGCTTCCTCTGGGCTTCTAGAAAAACATTCCACATCTGTACATGGCCTCACTGTGCAGATATTTTGATCTACGCTCTAAGGCCGCTGATCAGAATTAGATGTAATGATAATACGTATAACAGTGCAACTGTACGTGGAGTTACACCCTTCCAAGTCAGTGACATTTTTAAAAAGGTAAAAAGCCCGGTAGCACCTTTAAGACTAACAAACTTTATTGTAGCATAAGCTTTCGAGAAACACAGCTGTCTTTGTCAGATGCAACTGACGAAGAGAGCTGTGCTTCTCGAAAGCTTATGCTACAATAAAGCTTGTTAGTCTTAAAGGTGCTATAGGGCTCTGAAGAGAGCTTGAATGGAGACATATGTGCGAAGAACTTCTCCAAAAATACTTTCCTCCCTTTCTCAAAATGCTAGAACTTGAGTACATCCAATGAAGCTGATGGGCAGTAGATGCAGGACAAACAACAACAACAACAACAAAAACCCTGTTTCTTCACTTGGCTGTAATGAATCCGTGGAATTCATAGCCACAATTGATTTTATTTTTATCTTTTTTGCTGTCAGGTTATAGCTGGCTCTAGGGTATTCTTGGTAAAAATATAGTTAAGCAGAGATTAAATCAGCAGAGCAGTGAGTGAGAGACTGAATCCATGTGTATGTTTGTAAAAATATAAACATTTACTAGAAAACTAACATGGGGAAAAGGTGAACAGGATGCAGAAATAACAAAGCACTAGATCCCTACATCTTTACTGCTAAGAAGATGCTACAGGAACAGGAATGGTGTCTCTTCTTCTCCAACACACAAAGGCAGTAAAAAGGGACCTCAATATGCTAAATAGCCAATACATTGATTTCCAATCATAGGGCTAAAGTTTGGGTCATTAAAAAGACTTCCCACAAGATCCCCGGGCTTTTCTACTTAGCAAACAGATTGGGTGCAATAAACATGTGACTTCCTGTTGACTAATACAAACAAAGTTAACTCTGTAATTACTGAAGTGTTTTTTAACTTGCTAAACCCAACACTGACTTATGGCGACCCTGTAGGGTTTTCAAAGCAAGAGACATTCAGAGGTGGTTGGCCATTGCCTGACTCAACCCTGGCATTCCTTGGAGGCCTCCCATCAAAATACTAGCCAGGACCGGCCCTGCTTAGTTTCCAAGATCTGATGAGACCAGGCTAGCCTGGGCTATCCAAGTCAGGGCCATCAGATGATAGTTGAGGGTCAAAACAGAGGACCATTAGATTGGTTGGCTGTAGATGGGGACAAGACAAATTCACGGTGGGAGGAGAGGTCCATCAGTGGCTAGATGGAGCCTCCTTGTTCAGAATTTAGTACTGGGAGGCAATAACAAGAGAAGGCTTTGGCCTCCATGCTCCATGCCCTTCTTGTAGGTATTCCAGGGACATCTGGTTGGCCATTGTGTGGACCAGGATGCTTGCCTGAATGGACCATGGGACTGATTCAGTCCCGCTGCTCTAAATCTCAACATACCAGGATACAACCATACAAATGCATGCTCCGAATGGTTTACTGCATGCAGGGGCGGGGGAAAGAAAGAAAGAATTATTTTCCATGCATGGCCTGGAAAGATCTCAGATGCAACTTTTTTCAAGGCCTTGGCTCCTTTCAGGTCAACGCTGCTAGATCTAAGATCCTAGATAGCTCTGATGGCAGGATTCTCCTTAAGATCTGCTTGTGAATCCTATCCTTGCAGTTGGAAGTGGAGCAAAGCTGGGCAGAGTAGTCTCTCCTAATGATTTTGGTTGTGCCATATGTTAAAGTCTGAAGAATTCTAGGCACTGATGGAGGAGCTGCTTAAGCTGGAAGAAGTCTTCTCCGATGGGAGAAAAGCTTCAGGTTTCGTTGAACGAAGGGGTAATGGCTGGCACGAGGTCTGGGCATCATGTGCTTCCACCTCAGAAGCACTAAATATCCAAACGTTATCTTTCAAAATTCGGTCGAGGTGGTACCTTACCCCACAGAAGCTGCATCGTTTCTGTAGAAAGATTCTCAATATATGTTGGGGGAAAATGTAAACGGGTGGGATCTTCCTATCATCGTTGGTCACAATGCCCAGCCATTCACAGTTATGGGATGAAGTACTTACGGCCTGTACCACCCCACCAGCGCGGGGCTAGAACTGACAGCAAGTACTTATGGCCTGTACCACCCAAGATCTGTACCACCCTGAGGCACTTGGAGGCAGGGTGAGATTTAAAAAAAACAACATAGAAGTGGGTGAGAGAGAATCCTCGCATGCCCACGTCTCCATGGACAGTGATGATCTTTGATCAGGCGAGTGAACGAACCCATGCCTTCCCATTTCTCATCTTGCTACTCTTTCCTTTTTGCTCTTCTGTTCCAGTCCTCAAACTGCCCAGGCGATGTTCTCTCTCTCTCGTACGATCTACTTTGGGAATCAACAACATCTGTGTTTGCTTCTTGCTAAATCCAGAGTTAGGTTTTTTAGTAGCTACTAAAAATACAGTCTACTCAGCCCCCGTTGTTAAACAATATAGAAAACCCCTTTTGATTGTCTGGCATTTAGTTGTCCTTTGTTCTTTGCAGGGTTTCCAACTATGACATCTTCTCGTACACGCACAACCTCTTTTTCGTCTTCTATTTGCTGCTGATGTTGCACGTTTCAGGGTAAGTCGAGAGACGCCAGCTCATGGACCGCGGTGTGCCATGAAAACGACTGATAGGACAGCTGAGAACTGAAATGGATGAGATGGAGGTCGGCCCATGACTTTTAAAGAGCAGTTTCAGATACGTGGGGTCCCTGCTTTGGATCAGGACCATGTTGCTTGGACAGGGGACATGGAGTTTAACCCTGTCCTTGCCTGTCTTTAAAGGAGTTAGTAACAGTGCAGGGTGTGGCATGTTTCTGTTGGCACTGCCATACGGAGGGAGTAGAAGACTTAAACCCATTTTCTCCACTCAGCCATAGCTGGAATTTCCCTTATAAAATGAATGAAGAGATCCTTGTCTGTTCCTTCAGTATTTTGCTTTAAGAAACTCCCATCACTTTTGAACTCCCTCTTCCTTTAAGTATTTCTGACCGTGGTATTCTGCCCAGCATAACTTTAAGTTTGTCAAAATTTGCTTTCCTGAAGTCCATCCTATATGTCTGACTATGTACAGCTTTTCCCTTCCCCAAGACTGTAAACCCCAAGATTACATGGTCACTACTACCCAGGGTGCCCACTGCTTTCACCTCGTCAAACAGTTCTTCCCTGCTGGTAAGAGTCGAGTCCAAGATAGCAGATCCCCTTGATTCCCTCTCCACTTTCTGGAAAATGAAGTTGTCAGCAAGACAAGTCAGGAATTTATTGGGCCTTTCATTTTTAGCAGAGTTGAACTTATATCCGGGTAACTGAAAGCATCCATGGCCACCATGTCCCGTCTCTTTAAGAACTTTGTAATCGGTTCTAGGAGTGTCTCATCCAACTCCTCTGCCTGGCTTGGTGGTCTATAGCAGACCCCCACCATAATATCAGCATTATTTCTTACTCCTTTTATTTTTACCCAGAGACTCTCAACTGGATTTTCTTGCTCAGATTCAGAGATCCTTGTCTGAGAGCCAGTTTGGTGTAGTGGTTAAGTGCGCGGACTCTAATCTGGGAGAACCGGGTTTGATTCCTCACTCCTCCACTTGCAGCTGCTGGATGACCTTGGGCAAGCCATAGTCCTGTCAGAGCTGTTCTTGAAAGAGCTCTCTCAGCCCCACCTACCTCACAGGGTGTCTGTTGTGGGGAGGGGAAGGGAAAGGAGTTTGTAAGCTGCTCTGAGACTCTGAGTGAAGGGTGGGGTATAAATGCAATCTCCTCCTCCTCCTCTTCTTCTTCGTCTTCTTCTTCCTCCAGTGTCTTTTCTGCCTTGAGATAGCCCATTCTGACCCTGAGTGCTGTAGTGGTTAGAGTGTGGAACTGAGGCACAGGGGACGCCTAGGTTCAAATCCCTGCTGGCTATAAAACTTATTGGGCGACTTTGGGACAGGAAGCTTGTCCTACCTTGCTGGATGGTTGTGACATAATCAAGGAGGGGAGATCTGTGTATGCCATCCTGAGCTCTTTGGAGGAAAGCCGGGATAGTGCAGGGCTAGAGTTCGAAAGGTTCGAGTCCCCACTCTGTGCTCTGAGACTCTGAGTGAAGGGTGGGGTATAAATGCAATCTCCTCCTCCTCCTCTTCTTCTTCACCTTCTTCTTCCTCCAGTGTCTTTTCTGCCTTGAGATAGCCCATTCTGACCTTGAGTGCTGTAGTGGTTAGAGTGTGGAACTGAGGCACAGGGGACGCCTAGGTTCAAATCCCTGCTGGCTATGAAACTTATTGGGTGACTTTGGGACAGGGAGCTTGTCCTACCTTGCTGGGTGGTTGTGACATAATCAAGGAGGGGAGAACTGTGTATGCTGTCCCGAGCTCTTTGGAGGAAGGCCGGGATAGTGCAGGGCTAGAGTTCGAAAGGTTCGAGTCCCCACTCTGCCATGGAAGGTCACTGAGTGACCTTGGGCCAGTCGCATTCTCTCAGCCTGACCTACCTCACAGGGCTGTTGTGAGGATAAAATGGAGGAGAGGAGAATGATGTAAGCCGCTTTGGGTCCCCATCGGACAGGAAGTTGGGGTATAAATAGGTAGGTAAATAAAAATGGAAAAGAAAAGAACAGATCAAGTCACTTTTCTGGAGCTCTACTTTGCAGGGTATTTCAAGAGAATAGTCTGACACTATTTCAGTGCTCCTGTGAATTGTTGAAGGTGAGCTGGCTGTTGGTTTGAAAGGAATGGAACCAAATGCGATGTTGGTTTAAAACAGCTAAATGTGTTCAAGCAAGTGATGGAAGACCCTGCGCACATACCCCAAGGGCCCTCCTTATCCCCCCGGATTGAAGATGAAACAGGGCCCCGCGACGCCCAAAGAAATTCAGGAGAAAAATTTAGTTTGTCACATTAAAAATAGATGAGCAGTGCAGACCTAAGCAGTTATATACCCTTCCAAGCCGCTAGCTTTCATTCAACTGAGAAATGGTGTAACTCCATTTAGAATTGCATTTTAGATGTATTTGCTGATTAGCTCCATTAATTAATCAGCACTTCCAGCGTAGGTTTGTATGATGTATACTCAGTGGGTTGTGATGCTCTGAAGCCCTGAAGCAAGGTGTGCTCAGCCCACCCAGATAGTTTCCGGCTTGTTTTGGAAGGGTTTATTAATGGCATCTATCTAGTGCCTCCCATTAGATTTATGGGCGAGATCAGCTCTAGAGAACTGAATATCTCTTGCTTCTGTCTGGTGCTTTCTCTCTTCATGCCAATGAACGCTTTAGGATGAATGAGGATTGAAAACTCACAGCTATGTCCTGCAGAGCTGACTAATCCTGTTCATGATTACAGCAAGATAACGTCTCTGTGATGTGTGCATACTGCGGAAAGCCGCTGTATAAATGCTTTGCGTGATTGTTATTATTATTATTATCTTGCCCTGAAGTCACAGCTGACTGAGAGCCAGTTTGGTATAGTGATTAGGAGCGCAGACTCTAATCTGGGAGAACCGGGTTTGATTCCCACTCCTTCACATGCAGCTGCTGGTGTGACTTTGGGTCAGTTACAAGTTCTTTCAGAGCTGTTCTCTCACGAGGAGTTCTCAAAAGAGCTCTGTGAGTCCCACCTACCTCACATGTGAAGGGGATTATAAGCCGCTCTGAGACTCCTTTGGGTAGTGAAGGGTGGGGTATAAATCCAATCTCTTCTTCTTCATCATCTGGCAACCTCATAGGGTTTTCAAGGTAAGAGACGTTCAGAGGTGGTTTACCATTGTCTGCCTCTGCGCATAGAGGTGGTTTGCCATTGTCTGCTTCTGCGCATCGATCCTGGAATTCCTTGGTGGTCTCCCATCCAAGTACTTACCAGGTCCAGCCCTGCTTAGCTTCTGAGATCTGACAAGTTCAGACTAGCCTGGGCCATCTAGGTGAGAGCCAGTGTGATTATTAAACTACAGTAATTCTTTGCACCAAGTTCCCTGCTTCCAACAGGAGATTCAGGGTCAGGGGATTAGCCAGGAATTCGGCGGGCATAGTGGGATCTGGGAGAAATCAGAACAGACGAAGAAACCAGAGAGGAGAATCTAGACTGAGTGAGTTCTAAGAAACCAGTTCAAAGGACTGACTCTCGGCCTACCTGCCTGCAGCCACTTCTGCTTATAAGGACTGCTAAGAGCTGTCCCACAAGCTCAAATGGACTCCGGGGAGCCTGCACTCCACGGCAGGGTGGGGCTAACACGGACCTGCAGAAAGAAGAGGGGTATTCTTGACTGCTACCTGCACAGCTAAAAAACATATTGTAATGATAAAGGTTAGAATGTTGTTTTACAAAACGGGCAAGTTTCTAGTCCATAAGGCTTTGGTAATAAGCTTGGATGTCTGTCGTCAGTGCAAACCGGGCTCCTCTCCCTTTTGCTTCCGACTGGTTTTTTAGTCACAGCAGCTGCCTGGGGTGTCAATAGCAGCAGGAGGATATGAACAAACATAAAATCCGTGCCTGTTAAAAATTCTGAAAGGAGAGCTGGGAGGGTTTCTCAAGGGGGTGGGAAAAGCCCACCCCTACCGTGAAAGCAGCAGCAAGCGAAAGAGGCTCCTTGGAACAGCATCATAAGAACATAAGAGACGCCAATGTTGGATCAGGCCAAAGGCCCATCCAGTCCAACACTCTGTCACACAGTGGCCAGAAATACCAGGTGCCATCAGGAGGTCCACCAGTGGGGCCAGGACATTAGAAGCCCTCCCACTGTTGACCCCCCCCCCCAAGCACCAAGAAGACAGAGCATCACTTGCCCCAGAGCCCCTATCTATACCTTGTGGCTAATAGCCACTGATGGACCTCTGCTCCATATGCATCCACGTGCCATGTTCCCCTGCTGTACTCTGCTGGTGCCACTCCTTTCCCCTTCCTGCATCAATGCAAAAGGGCCAACTTGAAGAGAATCTTGCTGGGCCCTCCTGCGGCTTGCCTGTCTTCTTCTCCCCCAACAGCTGATCCACAGTTGAGCTTTATTGCAAAGCCCTGTTAAAGGGCTAGAAAGGGGTAGGGAAACACCGGAACAGACCACTGCCATATTGAAGGTGGTGCTAAGCTCCACCCCCTCCATGGATTGGCTACGGGCAGACCTCTCTATTTTGTGCTATTTCCCCTTTAAGTAGGGGAAGGCCCTGGGAACCCCATTAGCAAGGCTGCCAGCTCTGGACTGTGAACTTCCTGGAGATTGTGTGGGGGTGGAGCCTGAGGAGGGCAGGATTTGGGGAGGGGAGAGACCTAAATGGGGTCTAATGCCGTAGAGTCCATGTTGGGATCTGTGTGCAAGATCAAAGATCATCACTGACATCCTGAAAGGGTTAACGTGCTTGTTTGTGCTTGCTAATCCCTAGTTCGTTAGCTTCAGGGCCAGTAGAGAAGTCTGCACGTTCACCAGAGTATCAGTGTCAATATGCGTAATGACTTGGTATTGGAATGCTCTGTTGGCTAATCAATAGATTTGAGGATGTTGCCAGGGGTGGGGGCTTCGGATAACTTTTACTGCCTTTGTTCTCACTCTTGCTTGGGGCACATAGACAGGAGTTATAGTCACAGAGACTATGAGAGAGCTAGGCAGGATGTTTATTGT